AGTACGTCTAACGAGCATGAAGCGAGCCGATTTCACATATTGGTAAACCGCGAAACTTTACTAGGTCAGACACAATAGCCGGGTTATATTCAAGTTAGCTGACGGTAGGTTCGCATCGGAACAAGTTTGCGATCCGTTGTTGCACATTCTGCAAACAATTCCCTCTCCTTTTCTCTCTTTCCCTTATCCCTAAATACGTACCAGGTTGCTTCGAATCGATAAAACAGTTCAATTGCCGCCGGCAGCAAAACCCTTTCCGTGAATTTTCCTTTTCTTGCACGATTTTTGGCTGAGAGATGGACAAATAGCGAGGCGATGGCGTCAATATTCGATACTCCTGAGATCTGACCAATCTTTCTGGGGTGTAACACATGCCGTGTAACGCTTCCGACTTTGATTTCGAGTCGTTCGAGTATCTTTCATCTTCCATTAGAAATGGCGTGACGTCCTACAATTTGATCGATTTCTTAAAAATTGCATCGTCTTCGATCGTGGGTATTTAAAGGATAGATTGATAGAAAGCGGGAAAGTAATCGCGATGTTATTATTATTTCATTACTAGGAACGAAATAGTTCTTCGAAAAAAAGAAAAAAACTATATCGACCACTTACAGATTCTTTTCTTATCGTATCTTGCTCGATAAGATCCAAATTTTCGTGAATTAACGATGTAAGCTCTATTTTTTCGTAATTACATTCCTTACATTCCTGTTTGAACTCTTGCGCGAGAAAATAATTTTCAGTATCGTCCGAGTCCACGCAAGAGAACATCGATTCAGACGATCCCAAGGATAGACGGTCCTTGCTACTGGCGGATGTGGGCGATTTTAGGTCATCTTCGTCGCTCAACCACCATCCGAAATCATCCTGCTTTAATATCTCTTTAAACTTCGTATCGCCGTTCGTCTCTCCTCTTAAACAGAACATCGTGGACGTATCTTTTGATCTTGCAATTTCTCTTCTGATTTTTGAATAAACGAGAGTATCGTCGATTTAAATCTGAAATAAATCACAAAAATATTACGTGAATATTAAATAAAAAATTATTTGCAATAATATACATTTATTTAATAGGGTTTCGAAATATATCAAATTGCTAAATTTTTAATTCGAAATAATTGCGCGAATATTATTCGTGTTATTTGCATGTGTACCGCATTCTTCGTGATTACATAACAATACAATTTTATCTAACAACACAATGTCATTATTACGATATTTACATTTTTATATCGAAGAACAACTTTCCTTTCATTTTTTCCATCTTTCATCATTCTTAAAATAACTCACATTCCTTATCGTTGTCCCGTTTCGAAAACCGAAACCGAACTACTTTCGTTCTCTTGTTCGAACTTTTAAATTACTTGGATTGAAAGTGTACATTCAAAGAAGAAGAAGAAGAAGAAGAAGAGGAAAAGATTTCATTCCAAATAAAACGAATTAAAAATCAACATTGACGACATTTTCACGATATGAATTCACTTCTTTTCAACGTGTACGGAGAGAGAATCCAAACATCGAGTAAGCCATATTTATACGTACTACACTTGCTCGGCTTCTGGGGACTCGAAGACACTCTGGATGTACACTCGGGGACAGTTAAACTAAACGATAAATCGAACGATCGAGGAGGAAGGTTCTCATGGATCAGAATCGAACCACGTCTCCACGGTGGCGTCCAACTATTCCTCACGCGTTTCAACTATACGTGAAGTTAGGGTCATCGCAGTTCGCGAGCCTCGATTACGACGTATCTCGCCCGTAATCTATAACGCGTACGGTTTGACAGCCGTACGAAGCGCCGCTGCGGTTCGACTGTCTCTACGAAACACCGATTTCCTTCACCACTGGTCACCATGGGGACGCTAATTTAATAATCGGACGGGTTCTCGTTTCGTGTCGTCGCCGGTATGCGTTCGGTAACGTTTAGAGTCGATTAACGTCGCGTTCTCGCCTGGATCTCGATTGATTTATGGCCGATTAGATTCGGCCGCGAGAGAGAGGAGAACTGGTGAAATGAGATTTATGCACGCGTGGTTATGGTTGCCTAATAATTGGTATCGTTTTTTTTTTCGAGCAGCGTTGCACGAGATTGGTGGATAAAGTGACGAAAAGATGGATCGAGTAGTGTGAAGCTTGAGGGAATATCGCTTTTGCAATTTTATAATTTATTTTCATTACGTTTTAATTCATCCTTACCTTGATCTTCGCGCTCATCTTCTTCTATAAACAAATCGATAACAACTAATAATACTATATCGTAACGGATTACTGTTTTCAAACATATCAATCTTTCACTTTTATCTAGAAATTATTATTATTATTGGTAATCAGTTGTTGCAATTCATGATCTATTTTTATAAGAATCACACACACACACATCGAGTCAAAAAATTTTTCAACACGTTGAATTATCGGCACAAAAGTACAAAGTTCGATACAAACTTCACTTCAATAAAAACTAATAAATGAAATTAAACTTAATATCGATGGAAAAGGTATACAGTTTGTACGCGAATACTAGTTTAATGGAATTTCTTCGATGAACGATCGCGAGCAACAATGGATTCTGCAATCGGGCATGCACTGACCCATACTACGGTTTTTCCTCCACGGTTATAACACGGTTCCAACCAATGTGATGTATGTCGATGTTTGTTTTCGATATGGCCTAAATAAATATTGCGATAGCGGGCAATCAATTCTTATTGATGCGGCCGGTGACGTATTTGCGGGAGTAGGTTTTCTCGCGATAACTCGATGACCCGGGATTTCGCGATATGGATTTCCTGTTAGCAATGAGTCAAACCAGTGTCAATTCGAACTTTACTGATACGCGCGTGAACAGAAGCTTATCGTACGATTTGTATGTAAACATATATGAAAACTATTATATTGGGCGATTAGTTTTTACGTATTATGTGAAATATAACGGGTGACAAATTTTAAACGTGTTTGCCATATTAAAGCACCATGATTCATTTACGTATGTTTACGATTCGAAATAACGTTTATTCTTGAAAGCTATTTTAATTTTTTATTCATCATACGATGTTTCGAGATGATAAACATTTTTCAAAAAGGAGATCGATCAATATTTCCCTCTTATTTGTCTTATTTGATGTACAGCCAATGTATCATTTTTTTTAAAATAAATTAAATGTTATATAAAATGATCGTTAAATATTATGGCATTTTTTAATTGTCTTGATGTTTCATTAATAATCTTCGATAATCTTCGACAATATCTGAATAAATTGCATCTAAATATTGAACGAGTATATTATTTTTAAGCATTTAAACCAACGATACTTGTCGATAAGCCTTCCGTTCACGTGTATAAATATACATTTTCACCGTTTGCACCAAATATTTTCGACACAGATTTCGACATATTATCACTTCGTTTTATCTTTTCGAATGAAATTTTTTCGTCATGCGTAACATTTTTATTACAAAATTATATTGTAGATTGATGCAAAATCGTGACGCACACCGAGTCAATAGAAATAATAAGAATAAAATGTGAATCATTCGTCCATTTTGTCGTGAATATCCCGTAGATATTAGATAGATATTATTCCAGATTAATAAATTCTCGTGTTTCGTAATTTTATCGTGACGGTAATTTTATAATAAACAATGTGATTAACTGAAGGAAATTATAGTGAATACCGATCAGGTATAGAACTTTAGTCACATTGGCTCGCCGCAATGATCAAAAGATATTCTCTTTTACGTAATAATATCGAGTTTTATAAACGAAATTAATATACTTTTAGAGAAAAAATTAATAATTTATATAATATATATAAATATCGATATGTAGATTGTTTTATATAAAAGTTTATGTATAAGCGTTGCTAATTAATATAATCATGATTACGTAATGAGATATAAGAGTATCTAAAATAAAGGAATACATAAAAAGTTAAAAATTGATCTTAAAATATTAATATTTCTATAAAATTAATTTGACATTTTTGTACGTACCATAGTAGATTGTACCATAATTCGGTTTTCACTTGATTATAGCACTAATATCTCGTATTTTACAAATTACTCCAATACACTAATTAGTTAATTTCATTGTTAATCAAACACATATTCATTAATAATTACGATAATGCCATTAATTTTAATTCGTCAAAATATCTATATAAATTGCGAAATTCTTTTGAAAATATTAACTCTCACATAAAATAATTTCTTTAACCAAATTCAAACATTCTCGCGCTATTTAATTTTCATTTTATATGAAAACACATATTTCTCTTTGAGATTAAAAGCACAATTATGCAAATACACCACTTCACACCGCATAGAAGTCGAAACTTTAGTGAAATACGCCGGACAATATGGAGTCGTATAAATCCGCCATCGTGCGAGCTACGCAAGATAACGCGTTCGAGGTAGATTGTCTTTCTGATTTAACCGTTTTCTAATAGTCAGCTTGTGGTCTAGGGGTACGATTCACCACCGTAGATATAATTGGAAACAAACGGGTATTCGAGACTACATGCTGATTTTCATTTTTTCTGAGGGATTTTTTCGGTCAAAGGTTGACCCATTTCCATAATGGTATCGTTCCGCTAAAAATTTGAATTTTAATATCGTATTTAGGGCGAATATTCATAAGTGTGACGTCAAAAAGCCTTGATCACGGATAAAAAATAATTGCATGCGCGATAATGTTATCGGTGTTCGATCACTGCAATCAGATATAACGGGTGATTTACGAGATTTGATCATTGAATTATAGTTCTCTTGTAGTTCTCACGATGCATGAAGATCTATTTGAATGTATTGTGTATACTTTACTACATACAAGACAAGAATACAAAAAATTGCTGAATTTTCTAAACTACTAAAGTACTAATTCGTATAAATTAAAGGATTACGTGTATCATAAATAATTTAAAAGTAATACAAAAGTAAATAAAATTGGCTTGAAAATTATATTATTATGATAAATATTTAATCGAATACACATCGATCAATTTTACGATTCACGAGTAATTATTAAAGTATCTATTTTTTTTATAGTCATTATTCGATTAATTTATTTTCAAAGCCGAATTTATTATTTCGAGAACCATCCTATAGATGATTGACCTTAATAAAATTGTGATAGACTGACCTTGAAGTATCGATAATCGAACCGATTATCTTCTAAATGATAACGATACTAAATTAAATCAATCGTGATTCATGCAGCGAAGTATGAAACTGCGTGACTGCATTTCGCGGTTTTGAATAAACAAGTTATTATTCTTTGGCGTGAAATGTAATCCATGAAACGCGTAATTATTTATATATCATTTTCATCTTTTTAAAGAATAAAGATATCAATCAATAAGATAAAAATCAATAGTTTAATATTGTATCTGAAATGAAAATATAAATATTAATTAGATTAATTTTTATTTAAATTTTCATTTTTAATTTTAATTGTAATTTAAAATTTGTTAGTTTAATATTATATATAATAAGATTTTAATAACGAAAACTATAATAAAGTTTGAAAACAAAATTATAAATTTTCATTTAAGTACAATAATTGAGTCTCTAATATAGATATCAGAAGAATTTAATTTAATATGAACGATACTAGTTTATAGATGCAGCTTTTATTTATTAAATTCCATCATAATTATATGTATAAAAGAATTGTAAACATTGGTATTATTTATCAATAACTCACGTCAAAAATGCAATGGAATTTTCTTATTATTATTATGTAATTTTAAAAATTAATATCTTTTTTTCTTTTCCTAAAATATTTTTAGGTTATAAACTATTTCTTTCATTATTACAGAAAATATAATTAAATGTAAAATTTATATGTTGCATAAATAATAAAATTAAAATTAAAAAAAGATCATATAATTGTTTGTCTTTGTTATTTAGATTCGTAAATAAATAAATAAATAAATAAATAAATAAATAAATAAATAAATAAATAAATAATAATAATCTCATTAAAAGTATCATACCTGTTTTTTGGCACAGTATAGAAATTCATTTTCATGAAGGTTGAAATGTGATTATGTTTTATTTTACAATAATGAAATTGTTTATTAAACTTTGTCGCCATTTCACAATTTTAAAGATTATTTAAAATGCAAATAAATGTAAAAGTTTCAAATCAAACAAATAAAATAAATTACGACAAATAAGAAGTAAATACTCCAACTTCGTTCAACACGTATATATATTCAATGAATTCATTAAAACACTTAAAGAAATCACACGATAAATCCATTTTTAGCAATGATATGCTTTTAAAGATGCGGTCGCATAGTAAAGTCGATAGTAGGTCACGTGATGAGTACGCGATCGATACATCGAAACGACGATTGTACAAGACGCGAGATTCCGACGCAAGAGGTCAAACATCGTAGAAGAAATCGAAAGATCGACGAACTTTCGAACGAGTAACGAAGAAATCGCTTGGTAAGGAGCGTACTTCCGGGTCCTCAAGGCGCATGTACACAAATATGGCGTCTTCGTGGAGGACGGTGGTGAGTGTACGCGACGTGGGGTTTGGCGGGGTTTGTCGGATCGATAGCGCGCATGAGAGTGCGCGAACACCTACGTCGGTGATCGTCGCAACCTGGCCGCCACCGTGAGTAGAGTATCCGGCGAGTATTCCCCGATGTCAATAGCGTACGTGCGTCCGAGTGACGAGCACCGATGCCGGTAGCTCGTCAACGAGATTCAAGTCGGTTGTGTGTGTCAATTTCGCGCGTTTCTTCGTATAAATACCGGTCAGTTTTCTATATTTGGATCGTGCTTCGATTGAAAGCCGATCATACGAACCTGTTCGCCGCGAGTGACTTTGATGTATAAGGTTATGTTCACGGTGGTTACGCGCGGAAGTTTCGCGGAAGCCGGTATGGAGTCTCGTTGAGAGAGAGTGATATGTCCGTGATGTCACGAGGCTCGCCCTGGTGCTGGGACGCACCAGGGACGAGAAAATCTATGCTTTTTCTAACCATCGCCATCCTTTTCGGCTTGTTGTCGCGAGGCGTCGTCGGCGAGATAAATAAAAAATGTAAGTACCTGTCTATACTTTTCTCTTTCTTTCTTCTTTGCTGTTTTCACCGTTGATAATTATTACTTTACGCGTACCATATGAATCGGTATAGACGGAATTACTATTGTTTTAGAATCGAAATGTGATTTGAACGTTTCGTGTCATGCGCTTCGGAAATTGTTTTCCGAAGATGTTGCGATTTATTGAAAACTTCACTCACGTTTTATGACAATAGAACATATTCGAACTAATATTATTATTGTCGTTAA